TGGCTGGATATGAGGCAAATGTATGGCACTTTCTTGAATAATTAAGAAAGTAATAGCTGGGTGGTGGTGGCACATGGCCTTTTATCTCAGCACTCGGGAGGCAGAGTCAGTCAGATCTGTTCTTACTCATTGAGGTAGCGAGGCATGGTAGTTTAGGCATTTAATCCAGCACTGGGAAGCAGAGGCAGGGGGCTTTTTGTGGGTTCAAAGCCAGCTTGGTCTACATAGTGAGTTCCAGGACAGCCAAGGCTACCCGTGAGGCCCTGTCTCTAAACAAAAACAAGATTTATTTTATGTATGTGTGGCACAGGTGTTTGTAGCCAGGCTGGGGCTTCATGCATTTTACAAGTACTCTATCAACCCAGCTCCCACTTTCTCCCTTCCTTTCTTTCATAGGAAAGAGTTGGACAGGGGGTGATTTTACTGCCTGTCTCTTTGGTTTGTAGGAACTTCTAACAATACTCAGACAAAAGGTGGCTGAGAAGTTAAATGATGTCACCTTCTTGTTTACTCTGAAAGCACTTTGGAATCTTACAGATGAGTCTCCATCGGCCTGCAAGTACTTTATTGAGAATGAAGGATTGGCAATCATCATCCAAGTCTTAGAGGTGGGAAGGTGGGATTGAGTTTAGACATAAAGTTCTTTTCTTCGTGGTATAGTAACCTGTGTGTTCTTTTACAGACGTTTTCCATGTCTGTGATACAAAGCAAAGTACTTGGTCTTTTGGTAAGTTGAATTATTTGAATTACTTTTAATTAAAGCAATACTTACATAGTACCTACTTTATATTGGGCACTTCTGTAGTCAGTTTAGATGTATAGATTCATTTAATGATTATATTCTGAGCAAGCAGATAATCCTTGTACAGTAATTATCTGTTACTGTGAACAACCCACAGCTTAGCGGCTTAAAATAATAACTGTCTGGGGCTGGAGAGATGGCTCCATGATTAAGAGTAGTTGTTGCTCTTCTAGAGGACCTGGCTTTGATTCCCAGTACCCACAAAGCAGCTCACAAACATCTGTAACTCCAGTCCTAGGGAACCCAATGTCCTCTTCTGGCCTCTGTGGCACTGCATGCACACAGTACACAGGCATACACAAAATAAAAGTAAAAGTTAAAATATAATAGTAGCTATCTTACTTACTGAACTCTATAGATGGTGCGTATTGTGCCTAGGCCTGTAATCTCAGCTCCAGGGAGACAAACAAGTTTGCGGCCAGGCTGTGCTACATAGGAAGATCCTGACTCAAAAATTAAAGCCAAATAAACAAGAGAAACCTGGAAACAGCTTAGTTGGTAGAGTGTGTGCCATGCAAATCTAAGAACCTGAATTTGGATCCCCAAAACCTGTGTGTAAAGCTGGGTGTGGTGGTGCATGAGTGTAATCCCAGCACTGGGGGCACAGAGACAGGAGGATCCCTGGGGCTCACAGCCAGTCTCGCCAAATCCTTGTGACCCTGGTTCAGTGAGTGGTCTTTCTGAAAAAGCAGGGAAAAGAGTGATTGAGGAAGACAACAGATGTTGACCCCTGGCTTCCACACACATGTGCACTGCACAGACATGACACACATATACATGTATACTTCTTCCCATAAGAATCAGTTGACCCATAGTTTGAACTCAGCTCATGTCTACAGTTGTGCTGGTCTTGAGGGAGAGATTCTGGGGCTGCAGGCTGAATGAGATAGGATGATCTGACTCTGGGATCAGAGTTGGCACTGGTGGTCTGCTGAGTCTATGTCTCACAGAGATCTCAAAGTGGTGGTGGAGGGTAACTCCCCATCTGCCAGAGCTTTCGCAGCTCTGCCTGTATCCTGTTTGCTAATGTCAGCCAAAAGCATTTGATGTTGTCAAGCTGAGATTAAGGGCAGTGAGCATTTTTTTTTTTTTTTTTATGGGAGGACCAGCACAGTCTCATTGCTAAGGAATATCAGGAAAAAAATTATTTCAAGGATAAGCAAGATTGTGTGTTACAGCCGGGTGTTGATGGCACACACCTTTAATCCCAGTACTAGGGAGGCAGAGGCAGGCGGATCTCTGTGAATTCGAGGCCAGCCTGGTCTCCAGAGCGAGTGCTAGGATAGTCTCCAAAGCTACACAGAGAAACCCTGTCTCAAAAAAAAAAAAAAAAGATTGTGTGTTCCAACTGTACTCTATCCACAGTGTACAGGCGGGACCCATTTGTCTTACTTAGTTGGTAAGAGAGAGGTAGGATGAAAATGCAAACTCAGGCAGCCAGGCTCCAGACCCTCCAATAGGAACCACTTACCGATAATTCTAGATTGTCAAGGCAGTTAATTTTTCAGAAACTTCCAAATTCATATGTCAATTCTGCCTCTTGATTTCCCATAATTTAGAAATTTGTTTCCAGAAGAGTTGGAATTTGGAGAAGAGGTGAAAAAGGAAAACAGCAGAAAATAACCTCAGAAAGTTGAATGGAAGCCTTGTGTATCTTAGATGAGAAACATCCTATTTGCTGATTGGACAGATATGTTTTAGTCCTTCTGACTGCTAAAGACTCACAAGGACTTTTGAGAGTTAGAGTTATACTAATGGTAACTTATGTCTCTTTGTTGGGGACTAATGTCAGATAAGCTTCCCACTGAAATCATGTTATTCACAGGGGTTTTAGCTGGTTGAAGGATTGACTAGTCAGAGTCTCAAAACCAGAGCAATGGCTGCCTCAGACTTTACAGTTGTGATTCCTTTCAACATACTAGTGTCTGGACCTGAGGACCAAAGAAGTTGAAATGCTAACTGATTCTCTTCCCTTTTACAACCATTCCACCCCTTCGGGCCTTTCTGCTTTCAAATTCACAGGGGACTCTTAAAGAGTGAGGTTTCCCAGAGCTTATATTGTCTCCATGCCAGCTCTCCCCTCTAGTATGAGCAGGCCCTCTTCCTTCTTTCTCAGCAACTTTGATAGGATGCTACTTTACAAAAGTAACACACATATATATACAAAGCTTCCACTGCCTCAGAATGACAATGAGAACATGGCTGGAGAAGAGGGCCATCCATATTTCAAGGAACTTTTTCCTTTAAGTATTGGACAAGAAACTGAAATCTTAGTTCTGCAGCCACAGGGAATGAATTCTTGAGTGAGACTGGAAGTAGATTTCCTCACTAGAGCCTCTGGATGAAATTGTGACTGTGTGAAACCTCATTGTAGAGACCAGAGCTAAGTCATGCCCTGTCTCTTGCCCCAAAGCAGCTGTGAGATAGAAATGCATGTTATTTTAAGCCAGTAAGTTTGTGGTCATTTATCACACAGCGTAGAAAATGAATGCAATGTGTTAAAAAAAAAAAGAAGTAGAACAGCTTTCATTTTTAATTTCAAGATAATGTAAGCATTTGTGTTAGACCTAGATTCAAACTCCTCCTAGTTCAGGCAGTTACTGGCAGTGTAAACCTGACAAGTTAGTCTTGCTGAATGTCAAGTTTATTTGCAGGATTAAACATTAACTGAGAGGTGCTTTACTCTCAGTTCTTTTGTATTAAAGATCATGCTCTTCATGCAGGGGTGGGATTTGGATCATAGGCCAAGTTTGGAGAGAAGGGGCTGGAGTAAATTCTGGGACCGTGTCTAAAGGGAGCTGTAGAGAAGATGCTGCTGGTTCCTGATCCTTTTTCCCTCCCTGCCCTGCGGTGTTCCTATACCCTGTAGAACAACATAGCTGAAGTCAGAGAGCTCACTCCCAAGCTGGTGACAGAAGACCTGCTGAGACATATCATCAGTCTGCTCCACAACAGCAACATAGAAGTGAGCTACTTCGCTGCTGGTGTGATAGCCCATCTGACCTGTGACAGACAGCACTGGCTAGCCTGTGATGTGCAGAGGCGTGATCTTCTCCAGGACTTGGTACAAGAATCATTCTTTCCAAAATCCAGAGTAATTTCTTCCTCAGACAACTTATTTTCCTTAAATGAGTTTTAGAAAGATTCTACATCTATTGAATTTTGCTACTCATCTCATTAAATATTATTAGTGATAGTTTTTTTTTTTTTTTGGTCTGTTTGAATTTTGTTGTTTATTTTTGAAATGAGTCTCTTTATTCTAGCTCAGACCCTGCTTTTATTCATGGTGTTTCTCCTGCCTCAGATTCACTGGGCTTTTGGATTGCCTGTGTGGGCTACTGTACCTAGCTCTAACAATAGTTTCAGAGTTTTGTATTTGTTTTTAATGGTGTGTGTGCGCGTGTGCGCGCGCGCGGGCACATGTTGCCTGCACACAAGTGCTTGGGATGGCCAGAAGAGGGCATTTGATCCCTGGGTGCTGATGTTGTAGCTAGAGTGGTGCTGGGAACCAATCTTGGGTCCTCTACAAAAGCAGCAAGTGCTCTTTTAACTGCCGAGCCATTTCTCTAATCCCTAAAGTTTTGTATTTTAAAGTTTTTCTTTGAGCCAGTGAGATGTGTGGTGAGTTGAATTTATTATCTACTTGGGTTCAGGTTGGAGAGGTATGAATTAGTTGGAGCTAACTTGGAGAAGAATCTGCTGTCTACACAGCAGCCCAGTGAAGGAAAAGTAGGGACAGGGCTGTCTCAGCATCAAGCATTTAGATGTCCTGTCTGTTTAGTATGGTGTTTCTGCCCTTACTTGTTCATCAGGTTGCCATCAGGTTAGCAGAGATCTAAGCCAATCATTTTAACCTTTTAGACAGATTCCTGGTGTTTTTTGTTGTGTTTGTTTCTTCAGACAAGGCTTCAGTAGCACAGGCTGACCTGTAATTGCTGGCAGTCCTCTTTCCCTACCCTCCACAGTGCTGGGACTACAGGCCTGGTCCAATGTTTTCAATGCTACCTCCAATTCATTTCAGAAAGTACCTGGTATGCCAGTGTTTTTTCCCTCAGGAGTTCCAATCTTTTTGTTATTTGTTTGTTTGGTTTGGTTTTCATGACAGTGTTTCACTGAGTAGCCCTGTCAGTGCTATATCTCTTAAATCAATAACTTCTCATTCTACTTTGTTTTCTGTTTGCTTCTTTTTTAAACTGTGGGGACATTTATTTTGTCTGTTTCTTCTTGCAGTGAAGATAACTTTTTGTAAATGTCCTGGAGAAATGTAGTAGTTCATATTTTGCAAGAAGAAAGGATGGATCTTTTGTTTAAAAAACAAAACAAAAAACAGATTTACCATTCTGTTAATATAAGAATTAAGGAAAGTGTATGTAGTGATATATTATTTATGATTTATTAAAGCTTGGCTGACTATTCAGAAAGCAAAGTCAGCCACAAGCCATAGAAGTCAGACACATACCTTTAATCCCAGCAGCCAGAAGCTAAGAGGTAGTGGTAGACACCTTTAATCCTAGGGCTCAGGATTAGGAGGTAGATGGGCATTGAACACAGGTCCTCTGCAAAGAGCAGTCAGTGCTCATTTCTGCAGCCCTGCTTTTTTTTTCCTTTTTTTTTTGTCCTTTGATTTATTTTAATTGTATGTTTATGAATGTTTGCCTATCTATGCACCACACATGTATCTGGTGCCTTTGGAGGCCAAAGAGGGTGTAGATCCCCTGGAACTGGAGTTTTAGATGATTGTGAGCCACCATGTGGGTTCTGGATTCAAAAGCAACAAGTGCTTACCTGCTGAGTCATATCCCTATCCCCTTTACTTCTCACGTTACCAGGCACTAATTGGACAAAAGGCTGGGTAGGCACTCTGCCACTGAGCTCTTACACCTTCCACTGCAGTTTTTCATCAATTTTATACAGTGTAGTTATCTAGTTGATTTAGTTTTTTAAATAAGCCTCACATTTTTAAAAACACTCTTATTTAAAATATGTGTAAGTAATGTGAAATAGCCTGTTGTGTTGGTTTTTCAGTAACAGAATTTAACAATAGCACATAATAATCTGGGTTTCTCCCTCTCTCTTCTGGGGTGCAGCATGCAACAATCCAGGATTGGCCAAGTTCATGGTGTAAGATGTCAGCATTGGTGACCTACAGGTAACTTTAAAGTGTTACAGCAACCAGTCATTCCTTTTGTGCACTCTGCAGTGATGCAGTAATAAGGTATTATGTCAAGTAGCCTCATGTTCGCATCCTGTGGTTCTTCTTGGTAAATTCTAAGGAAAGCCAAGACTTAAGTTCTCCTTAGAGTCTGACAGCATGCAATAAAATGAGACAGAGAATACTAGTGTCATATGAAATGCTGTTTCTTAAATGAGCCTCCCGAGTACTGGGATCAAAGGCGTGCACCACCAACACCCAGCTAGAATCTTTTTCTTAAAGCTTCTTTAGGCAGCTGGGCGGATCTCTGTGAGTTCGAGGCCAGCCTGGTCTACAAGAGCGAGTTCCAGGACAGCCCCCAAAGCAATACAGAGAGACCCCTGTCTTGAAAAACCAAAACCAAACAAACAAGCAAGCAAACAAAAGGCTTCTTTAGGCTTCATGTGGATATACATGCCTCACGATGGGTGCCATTTGTAGCCAGGCATTTCTCCCCTACCCGCCAATTCCCAAATAACCACTCTGAGGCTTAATATTAATTACAAATTGTTTGGCTTATTAGCTCAGGCTTATTATTAACTACCTCTTACAACTTAAATTAACCCATTTCCATTAGTCTATATTTTACCACAAGGCTCATGGCTTGTTACCTCACATCTTGCTTCCCTGGCAGCTGCTAGCATCTCTTAGACTTTGCCTTCTTTTTCCCTGTATCTTTGCTTGGATTTCCCGCCTGGCTCTATTCTGTCTGGCTACTGGTTAAATCAGCTTCTTTATTAATCAATGGCAATAAAAACAGAATACAAAAGGGCATCTCATATCACCCTGACATCCATAAAGACTGCATAGTACATCTGTCTCTATGCAGAACAGACTCTGTAGGGGAAATATTGAAAAAAATTATATCCTAGAGTTCTGAATTGATATCTTTGTAATTTTTTTTTATAGATCTTTGAAATCATTTTCCCCACTCCTTGACAACTTCTCTCAGCCAGAAGTTCAGCTCTGGGCACTATGGGCCATGCATCATGTCTGCAGTAAAAATCGTATGTATTCAGAGCAGACGGTTTCCAGCTAATATCCTGAGTAATGGATGAATTTAGAATTGATTTCTTTTGCGGGGGAGTGTTTTAGGACAGTGTTTCCCTGTAGCCTTATAGCCTATACTGGAACTTGATCTGTAAATCAGGCTGGCCTTGAACTCACAGAGATCTGCCTGCCTTTGCCTCCTGAGCGCTGGGATTAAAGGCGTGCATTACTAACGCCTGGCTAGAATTGATTTTAATAAAATGCTCTCCCCCTCCCCAAACAAACAAAAAAATTAAAGCTGGGCAGTAGTGGTGAATTTAGTCCCAGCACTTGGGAGGCAGAGACAGGTGGATCTCTGAGTTATAGGCCAGCCTGGTCTACAGAGTGAGTTTCAGGAGAGCCAGGGTTACACAGAGAAAAAAAAAAAACTGTTCTATTGGGTCAAGGGAGATGACTCAGTTGGTAAAAGAGAAAGCACTTGTTGCACAGGCCTGACAACCTGAGTTGGTTCTTCATCTTAGTCACTGTTCTAATGCTGTAGGAAGACAACATGACCACAGCAACTCTTATAAAAGAAAGCATTTAACTGGGGACTTGCTTACAGTTTCAGAGTCCATATCATCATGGGAGAAAGCAGACAGGCATGGTAATGGAGCAGTAGCTGAAAGCTTTGTCCTGATCTGAAGGAGCAGGCAGAGAGGGACCTTAAAGCCCATCCCCAGAGACACACACACACTCCAACAAGGCCACACCTCCTAATCCTTCCCCAACAGTTCCACTAATTGGGAACCAGGCATTAATCATAAGAGCCTATGACAGCCATTCTCATTAGAACTCTGCATGTGTGCCATAGAATGTTTGACTGCACATACATAACAGATACAAACTCACAAACAAAAATACAACAGGGGCTAGAGCCGCAGTTCTCAGCCTGTGAGTAATGACCCCTTTCACAGGGGTTGCATATCAGCTATTTATGTTACAGTTCATAACAGTAGCAAAATTATAGTTGTAAAGTAGCAACGAAATAATTTTGGGGGTCACCACAGCATTAAAGGGTTGCAGCATTAGGAAGGTTCAGAACCACTGGGCTAGAGATGCCTCCGTGGTTATGAATACTTAGTTCTCTTCCCGATAATCCAAGTTTTGTTTCTGGCACTCAGACCTTGGGGTGACATACCATCTAATTCCATCTACAGGGGATCTGTCATCCTCTTCTGGCCTGCATAGGTACTTACATGCACACATAATTTGTTAAAATTCTTTAATTAAATCTAAAATTATTAAATAAAAGAAAAAAGAAAAATTGTTTACCTGTGTCTGCTCCATTTACCCATAGTTAAAGGGAAAGTGAAAATGTTTTACTGGTTTTTAAAAAGCTACAGAATTACAAGCATATCTGGGAGTGGATGTCTAGCGACAGAGACATCCTGTTCCTCACAGGTCAGTACTGTCAGCTATACTGTTCTTCCTTTTTTGATCTTTAGGTGCTGAGGGTGGACTCCACCCTGTTGAACGTGCTAGGCACTAAACAGAACTGGCTTCATTTTATGTGTATGGGTGTTTTGCCTCCATGTGTAACTGTGCCTATAGAGGCTGGAAGAGGGTGTCAGATTCCCTGAAACTAGAATTACAGATAAGCCCTCTGGAAGAGCAGTAAGTGCTTTTAGCTGCTGAGCCATCTCTCCAGCCCCCAGAGCTTCTTTCCCTTCTTAGTCTGGCTCCAAGAGCCTTCCTTTACTTTATCCATTCAGCTGAGCCTTAGAATCTCTCTGTGCATCCGTGTACCTGAATGTATGCATGTGCACATACATTGCATGCAGGAAACAGTGAAAAGAGGGTGTTGGAATTCCTGAAACTAGAATTACGTGGTGCTAGGAATTGCATAAGCCAATGGTGTGTTTAAGCCATGGTATGTTTAAGGGGAAGGACCTTTTTTATTATAGATATGAGAAAGAGAACAGTCAGGCATCTTGAAGAGTATAGTAGAGAAAGCAGACTGAGGCTATTTGCCAGAGAGGGGAGAACAGCAGGGTGTAGAGAATAGAGAAAACAGAGAGAGAGAGACAGAGAGACAGAGAGAGAGAGAGAGAGAGAGAGAAGGAGAAGGCACTTGAACAACATTGAATAACAAGGTTATATGGAGAATGGGTATCTGGGGAAGGGAAGCTCATGAGCTGGAGGGAATTTATGGTAGGGGAAAAGATGAGAAGGGCAGGATTTAGAATTCTGTAACAGTTACTTTTGATACTGAGGGAACCTTGGAGGCTAGCATGAGCATTGATATGCTAAAAGGAACCACAGGTAGCAATATGACCCTTTGGTAGGTGGGAAGAAGTTCCTGAGCAATGCTGGCTTTTATCTGATCACCATAAATTCTGTCATCCAGGTTGAGCTCATTGGACTGCTTTTTAAAGTTTGGGGAATGGGAGTTTTCTTTGGGCCTACAAGGAGCCAGCAAATGAAGGAAGCGCTGTTAAAGCTGCTGAGCCATTTCTCCAGCTCTGGTGTGCTCCTTTTTCTAATAGCTAGACCTAAAGGTGTTTGAAGCATACAGTTGTCTAGAAAAATACACTACAATGGCCATCTGTGGTTTCACCATATCTGATTATTCAGGAATTGACTCATTTTTTACCTGTTAATTACTGGGCCATGAAGAGTTTCATCTTTCCACTGTGTCTTTCATGTGAACATGATGAATTGGGAACATTTAAAATGTCAGTTGTTCACAAGTGTCTTTGTTTTCCTTTTAGCTAGCAAATACTGCAAACTGTTGGTAGAAGAAGGAGGACTGCAGCTCGTGTGTGATATCCAGGAGCGTGGTCAGGCCAATGCCCAGGTGAGGCAGATGGCGGCCTCCATCCTGGAGGACTTCAGGATGCACTTCACAAACTACCAGAGACCTCCCACAGCCCCAGTGCCCTCTTTGACTTAGGGGCCTTTGAAGGGTGCTGCTTAAGGACAGGGTTTCTGCCTTTGGGTAATGGAATTTTGAAACTGGTTGTTGGCATTTATCAATTGTCTTGGTGTTTTTCTTTCCTGTTACAAGAAGGCCGGTCCTATTCCTGCCGAACAGACTTCAGGGAGACCTGGTATCGCTGCTTCCCCTGGTTATGTGCTGCAGGGAGGAACAGTCTTTACTGCTGTTTCTCTTGATTTGTTTGTTTAATACCAAAGTACTTTTGAGAGGTAAAAGGGGGAAAAAACAACAAAACAGACTGGCCTTGAGCTCAGCAGTCCTGTTGCTTCAGTACTGGGGTGGTGAGCCTGAGCCACCACACCCTGATAGCTCTGATTTTTCTTTCCCTTTTTTCCTCCAGTTTGAGGAGTCAGACCACTGAGTATGTATAAATGTGTGGGGTTAAAGCTTGGTCTAGACTTAAGATCTGTGTCCATGCATGCATGTGAGTGAATGCTTACAGTGGCCAGAAGAGGGCATTGAGTTTGGAGCTGGAGTTACAGACAGTTGTCAGCTAGAAGCTGAGAACCAAACCTGGGTCCTCTGCAAGAATAGTAAGCACTTTTACTGCTGAGCCATCTTGGTCAAGACTCTTAACTGGAGTAGTCAGAAGCCCTCTTTGAGCATCAATTGAGGAAGGAACTCATTCTTAGCAATTCTAAGATACACTCTAAACTATAACCTCAAGCCAGCCTTGGCTGTGTATTACCTTATTCTATTCTCCACTGTCTCAGGCATCATCTTAATGATGTCCATGTCTATAAACTGCACTCTCTACTCACACACTACTGTTTTTAGTTTCTGAACCTGAGTTCTAGTACCTGGAACATTGTGTTCCTGGGAACCACTAGCATTTGCCAGTGGGAAGATGTGCAATGTGTGCAGCCCTCCTGTGACTTTCTCCCTTCTGGGATACAAACACATCCTGGTACATGCTTTGGCAGCAAACCAACAGTATGGCTGGTGCTTGTGCCGAGGATGCTCAGCTCTCGGCAGTCTTGGTAGTCGAGGAGGTGGGCATTTAGGTATCCAGGGGCCTGTGAGGAGCTGGCCCTTTATTTTCCAAATATGGCACCTTTTAGCTTACCTTTGCCAGTTCAAATGCCACTTGTCCTCCAGGCACCAAGTTTGCCCGCCTGATTCCCCACCCCTTCTTTCGGGGCGGCTAACTCTTTGTCCATGATCCTGGATGAGTACTGAAGGCCTTCCTGCCACTCTACTGTCTGCAGAAGGCATCCACTGGTCCCCACAATTTCAGTACAAGCCGATGGTTGTAGCACGTTTATTGAACACAAGGATTTTAAGTTACAGCTGATTATTTCCAGATTTAAAAAAGCTGAGTTCTAGAGAGGTTAAATGGTTTGTCCAGAACAAACCCGGTTGGTTTATTCTGTGAAAGGAAGAAATGAGGGCTTCCTTCTCACTGCTCCCCAAGAGAACCAGGAAGGCCTGGTGAGCAAGGTGGAAGGTGGCAGTAAGTGAGGTGGTCAGCACCTTGGTTTTAGGCACCATGCCAATTACAGTGTCTGTCATCGTTCTTGTGGAGAAACCAAAGGCCAGAGGTGAACTTAAGAGGGCTAGCCTGCGAACTTTTCCTCTGGATCCTATTTATGGTGTGCAGTTAAAATTAACTGGGTCACTTGCCAACAAATTTTGGGGGGCGTTTCTCCCTGAAGGCTGCCATCCCTTCCAGTCGGTCTTGGGTTGGGATGTTCTGCAAAGATACAATGATATGTATATGTATATATGTATATGTATAGATAGATATAGATATATGGTCATTGCATAAGTGGATCTAGGTATGATGGAGAGTAGCTTTTTCCCCCTCCCCTCTCACAAGTTATCAAAAGAGTGTATAGCCCCTCCACAGGGTTGTCTGCTTATTTGTCTAACCAGGCCTTAGCATAGTAATTCCAGCTTAGCCCCCAATAGAGATAACTGGTACTGGACAGCAAAAGTGATTTTTTTTCCTGTTTGTGAAGCATCTTTGTGTTCTGTGGTTCTCTGGATACTAAATGATTAAAGAAAGAGTCTTGAGGTGAAGACCTGTGATTCTCTTGGAGCCACTTAGGTTATTTAGGAGGCACTCGCATAGTTAGACTGCATGAGGCTCCCCATATTTGCTTACCCCCCAACATGCACAAGCCAACAGTACTTATATACCTGGGCGTAACACATATGTTCAATGGCCATCCCTGATGCAATGTCCACCTGCAAAAAAGTACTCGCTGAGTCCATATGACTTTGTCCAACCAACCCCATCCACAAAGAGCCAGCCCACCCTACTGTCTATGAGTGGAAATAACTGCTGCTCTGTAACTGATACCTGGACTTTACAGCAGTGGTAAAGGGTCCTGAGAGAGATGCGTAGGAAGGTGTGTGATGATGCTAAATTAGGTAGAATTGGCTTCTACATGCTTCAGCCAGTGTCTCTTCCTCCAGACTGTCTGGCTATGCCTTTTGTCAGGACTTAGGAATGAGGCCTGGCACATTCTCTATCCTCTGCTAACTCATGCTCACTGTTGCTAACACTGGCACAGTCACTAGCAAGCACTATTCAAAACTTACTTTACAAAATGAGCATTTTGATCTACTGAGGAGTCTGAGACATGTGATACAACAGTGACTGAAATGAAGTGGTCTTGGATTGAGACTCTTCCCTTCCAGGTTGCCATCTTACCATTCCTACTCAGTCAATTCATATGAACGTGTTTCTGCTTGTATTATAACTTTTCTCTGGAGCCTAACCCTACTTTCCCCCGTATCCCATGCCATTGAGGATTGAAAACACACACACACACACACACAGTATCCAGGAATGAACATAGGGCTTTTGGTATGTGAGGCAAGTGCTCTACCATTGAGCTGCAGTGAGGCAGGGTCTCACTGTGTAGCTTAGGATGACCCTGAATTCTTAGCTTTCCAACCCCTGAGATTGTAGGTGTATACATACAATCATGCCTGTGTACAGTCATGCCTGGACACTAATCCTCAGCTCTAGAAAACATTCTTTGCTGTGTTCAAGACAGCTGAATTCTGAGATCCTTCTGCTTCTGCCTCCTGAGTGCTGAGATTAAAAGTACACACACACACACACACACACACACACACACACACACACACACACACACAGTCTTTAACTCAGCACTGCTAGTTAACACTGAGCCAGTCCCCGATACTGGCTGTCCTAAGGAGAATACCATTAATACCACATAGACAGTGGACATGTTTCATCCCTACATCTCAGTTCTCATCTCTGGTCTGGTATAGTTTGCAGTGTGACAGGTAAGCTAATGTCTTGAGACCTACACTTAGGCTCCTTTAGTAGCCACCAGCCCAAGCCCAGGTACATGAGTTGAGAACCGCACAGATCTGCCTTCTTACCTCTCACTTTTATGTGGTCTTACCCTTCTTACCCGTTTCCTTATACAGAAGTGATGGGGATACATCCTAGTCAATGACTGACATACAATTCCTGACCAGTAGAATCTTACCTCCATTCCTCTGTCAATGGCAACTTTGCCCAGTCGCACAGCAATGGGTGCCTAGGCGAGAGAACATTCAGAGACTTGTAAGTGAAGAGCTTTGGACAGGAAGGTACAGGTCTGATTCTGCATCCAGCCTTCCTACTGATAGACCTCTTGAATCAAGCTTCCTTTTCTACAGTGAAAGAAGCACACTTCCTGACTGTTTAGTCTTAACCAGCTGAGTTGATCCTCCCAACATGTCCTTCCCATTATAGTTCACAAACTATAACTGTCTTTGGTGCTGGACTTTAAACCCAGAGCATCACCCATGCTAGGCAAGTGCTAGGCACTGAATTAGAGCCACAGTGGGCCCCTGACCTCTGAGCAAACATTTAAGACAAGATTTTGCTGAAGCTGGTCTTTCTTTGTGGTCCTTAGTCTCAGGATTGCAGGCATGTGCCACAAAGATGGTAACAGAGTGCTTACGGACAACACATTTTACAGATGTGAAGTAGAGGCTCATGGGATTGAAGCACTGGGGCCAGCAAGTCCCCCAACTTCCAGTCATCTTCCCACTGTTGTTCCTTCCCTTCTAGCGCTCATCCTAGCAAGCACTAATGTTTTGGGTTTTATTTTATGCCCTTCTTTTCTCTCTTCTATTTGGTTTGTTTGCCATGAATGACAACCAGTCAACAGCACTGTTTCTCTCATTAGAAATGAAAACTTGCCGGGCGTTGGTGGTGCAGCCTTTAATCCCAGCACTCAGGAGGCACAGGCAGGCGGATCTCTGTGAGTTCCAGGCCAGCCTGGTCTATAGAGAGAGTGCCAGGATAGGCTCCAAAACAATACAGAAAAACCCTGTCTCAAAAAACCAAAAAAAAAAAAAAAAAAAGAAGAATGAAAATTTAATGTACCCCCAGGACAGCACCTGGGAGGTGGAGGCAGGAAGATGAATTTGAGCTACATGAGACCCCCCCAAAAAACCCTGCAAAATTAAATTGTTAAACACATGTTTTATATACCATAAACAAATAAATTTCTGGCTATGTGAATATATTAAAATTAGAAATACAATGAATAAAATTCAGGTGTTACTTGGCTATAAGAATAGTGGGTCAATGTGGCCTTAGGATGTTAATTTCTTTGATGTTCAAATGGAAAACAGCCAACTCATTTAGTTAAAGGTTAATGTATCCTAATCGGTCTGAATAGATTCTAGAACCATTTCACTCCCTATTCAATGGTTTGCCGACTAGGTGGTAATTGCTTATTATACAACCCCTCTTCAGAAAGTTGTAGATGTGGGACAGCTGTCAATCAATGTAGGTAGGCTCACAGATTACTTTAATTTTACTTTAGAGACAAGGTCTTGTTATGTAGCTCTGGCTAACTTGCTATGTAGACCAGGCTGTCCTCTGCTGAGTTCAAAGGCATGTGCTACCTATCATTCCTAACTTTTTGCCAGTATTAAGGATTGAACCTAGCTAGAGCCTTGTGCATGCTAGGCAAGCATTCTACCACTGAGTCACATTCCCAACTCTCCCTCTTGCTACTTTTGAAGCACTCAAAATGCCTGTAACTCTAGGATGATGCCATTGTCCCATACTTGACTACTGTCAGAAGTTTGTCAGCATGAGGTTGCCCACAAGGGGCATCAAGCTCCATTTATACCCTGATCCTTGCGCCAAAGAATACATAGAGAAATTTTCTTCCCCTCTAAAATCATTACAAGTTTGGGGAGCTTAAGACAGGTTCTTAGTAGACCAAACTGGTCTCGAACTCAAAGAAATCCTCAACCTCCTGAGTTACACAACTAGCTTCAAATGTAATTTTTTTGGGCGGGGGGGGCGGGGGGGGGGGGGGGGGGGGGGGGGGGGGGGGGGGGGGGGGGGGGAAGACACGACTGGGCTCTCTCTTCCCCAAGGAACCACCTTTTTTTCTTGTTTTGTTTTGTTTTTGATACAGGGTTTCTCTGTGTAGCCTTGGCCTTCCTGGAACTAGCTGTGTAGACCAGGCTGTCCTCAAACTCAGAGATCACTCTGCTTCTGCCTCTGTCTGCCGAGTGCTGGGATTAAAGGTGTGCACCACCAATACCCGGCCTATTTTGTAACTTTTAAAAATGTTTTGAAATTAATATATTTGACTTCAAACTTAAAAATTTTGTACAGATTCTACTTATGAGTGTCTCTGTGCGTTTGTGTGTATGTCCACCTCTGGTGTGTGGGGACCAGATGACAGCCTCACATTCATCCTCTGGCATACTGGTCCACATTTTTAAAGACACGGTCTCTCATTGGCTTCCCAGTTCATTGCAGTTGCCTGGCCTTCAGAACACCTGGCATTTTTACATTGGTTCTGGGGGGTTGAACTCAGATTCTTAATGCGTGTGAGGCAAACACTTTACTGGCTGACCTCCCCAGACACATATTCTAATAACATAATCCTAAACTTTACTGTAATTTTCGTTTTCATTCATGGTGACCTTGATGAGTTCAGTTGCCTTATACCTTTATGGAAAAGAGATCTCATCTTACTTCCAAGCAAAGCCAGCAGACCTCAGAGCCTTGGAGACCCAAGTCAGCTAGATCCTGGGTCTAAACCTGCCCAGCAAGCAGTTTAAATTTTGTGGAATCAACCCCTTCAATGCTGGGGATGGAACCTAGGACTCCTGCATATAGCCCGGGCTAGCCTTTAACTCACTAGCCAAGCATTAGTGGTTGCTTAGCATGGATGAAGTCCACTCTACCAATTCCTAATCCTTCCTTATGGATTTTAAAAAATGAGTTAATGTATATCCTGAATATTTCAAGGAACAATCCACTATGTAGTGTGGTAGGAAATGTGACTGGTAGCATACCTAGTTTTCTAGTCTTTGGTAACACTTGACAGCAGTGCTGTGCAATATCACATGTGCCAGCTGGCATTTGAAAGGTATAGTGTGGACGAGGGACTGTTCAGTGTGATTTAAGTAACTTCACCCTGCCATACAAGAGATGAAGAAGGTTGCTGTCATCACAGCTTTGATGACTTGGAGCCCACTAGATTCCAGCCCTTCTAAATTCACTTTGTGTTTTAACTTAGAATTAAAGTTGGCTTTTGCTACTGGATAACACAGTAGGTGTCCAAACTCCAGGAAACACCTGGTCCCTAGGCTTCCCATCATCCCATCCTTCTGTGCCCCAACTGTCACCATACCTGAGGCAGGATCTCCTGAGCCAGTGCCAGTGCCCGGTGATAGGCGGCATTACCCTCCTCATTCTGAGCCACAGCATGATTTACCAGGCCTAACTCATGGGCCTGCATCCCATTCACTCTCCGGCCTGTGAAGATGAGCTCCTTCGCTAGGGCCACGCCCAGACAGCGGGGCAGCCTCTGAGTCCCTCCTGCCAGTATGGAGAGGTGAGAGCAGTGAGTCAGATTGAGAAGGGCAAATCTAGAGAAACTCATCTTGGCAACAAGACAGAAGGAGGAAATGACCTAGGATAAGGAAGTAGAAAAGATGAAGTTACCTGCTCCTGGGAGAAGTCCTCGGGTGGTCTCGATTAGCCCCATAACAGCTGAGGAAGCTGTTTAAACAGAAAAGAATGACGTTGCCCCTTGCTCATCCTCTATTAGCAGTCCCTGGGCAGACCATCACTGTCTCTCCAGCTACCTCCTCAAGGTCTGGCCATGCCCAGACCTTTCCAGCCCCTGCCCAGGCCAGCCACCCACTACGCCAGCTGCCGTGGTCAGCAGGTCTTCCCTTCCTGAGCATCCATGGTGGGAAAAGATGGCAGCCCTTCTGCCCATGTCACACAGACTAGGGAATGAATGGAGGGCCAGCAACAAGGAAGGGGCCCCCAGCGGGCACCCGGCAGTGATTGTAGGTTCCTGGGTTTTCTGTCTCAAGGACCCTGAGGTCTAACATGGACTGTTAGCACCATGGTTCTCCCTCATAGGTTGCGTCAGCCTGAAGTTTCCCTGAAGGTGCACAGGACAGTTTCTAAGTTTTGCTTCCTGAGTGCTTTTCCTTTATAGTCCTTTGCTGAGTTCCCTAAGTACAGGCCACCTGACCTGTATAGTGTAGGCAGTAAAACGGGGCTGCACCATTACTCAAGAGGGGTTTTCATTCTCTACTCTGAGTCAGCTGCCTGAACCGTGGGCGAGTAAGTGGCCTCCTGCAGAATTCTGTTGCCTGGCTATAGAATCAAACCCCCTCCAGCTACTTTGTGTGTGCGGTGCTGGGAATGATGGAACCAAGCCTTAAGTATGCTAGGTCAAGTCTCTCTTTCACACACTGTAGATGGGAACCACCCTCATGCCTGGATACATAATTTAATATTGCTGGATTTGAAAGAGAAGGCATGAGGGGGTGGGCACCTTGGTGACACTCTGTCTACCTTTAAGAAGTGCTCTCCCAGCTAAGTCTGACCTTGAAAAGTGACCAATGGGAGCCAGGTAGTGGTGTTGCATGCCTTCAATCCCAGCAGAGGCAGGTGGGTCTCTGTGAGTTTGAGGCCAGCCTAGCCTACAAAGCAAGTTCCAGGACAGACTCCAAAGCTACAGAGAAGCCCTGTCTTGATAAAACAAAACAACAAAAAAGTGACCAGTGGGGGTAGAGAAATGGCTCAGCAGTTAAGAGCACTGACTGCTCTTCCAGAGGACCAGGTTCAATTCCCAGCACCCACATGGCAGCTAACAATTGTCTGCAACTCCCAAGATCTGACACCCTTACACAGACATACATGCAGGCAAGAATAAATAAATTAAAAAAAAAGAAAAGTGACTAATGACCTTGATTACCCTCCACAACTTAGGGCTCACCTGTAGAACAAGTAACCACAAACCTGGCTGGCGCCATGAACCAGAACACACTGCCCAGTCACCTTTGCAATGAGCTGGGTCAGTGACAAACAGTCTTCGTGGCTCACCCTTGTTCAGTTCAAGTAATCTGACTTGGCCAGATCTAGATGGTCAAATCCCTAACTTTGTCCCCTTTGGCTTTCCCTCTTCTTTGCTGCATGGTCAGCTGTGACTCAATAGCTTTTACAACCTTTCTTAGATGAGGAAAGGAGCTCTCACTGGCATGGTCTATGACAGCAGTGGGTGGTGAAGCAGCTTCACCTGCTTCCCATGTTTCTTATACTGCCAGGGTTTTTCTCGTTTGGAAGGCTGAGAGTGGTGGCTGACTTAACAGAAATCTGACATGCCCAGCTTGGCTAGGTTGTCCCACCCCATCCCTCCAGCTCTACCCTGCCAAGTACCTGCTATTCTGAGGTCACAGGCCAGGGCAAGTTCCAGGCCCCCGCCCAAGGCAAACCCGTCCATGGCTGCAATAGTGGGTGCAGGGAAGGCAGCTGTGGAGACAAAGATTGGCTTAGCCTGCAAAACCTAGCAGGTCCAGGACAGAGGGCCTTGCAGATCCTAGGTTGAGGAACCTCACCTGATAACTTCAGCCAGGTTATCTGAGGATCTTACCCCATTTTTCCCAATAGGGAAATTCTAGGTCCTGATGGGGTTTGGGAATAGGGCTGGTGCTACAAACCCACCCTCTTTTGGGACCTGCCTCCCTGTGTGCCAAGCCCTGCACAGGGTGCTGGAATGGAACTCAGCTAGGTGTGCACCCCCCCCACCCCCCAAGAAGGAAGGCAGACTCATAACCAGGCAGTGACGCTCTGAGGCCTTCTGTGCTCTGAGGACAGGAAGCTTAGAGCTGGTGAGAGGACTTCTTGTAGGAGGAAACACTGGAGGCCTTAAAGGGTCACTTAAAAAGTTTGGTAGCTGGGAAGGGTATGCCAGGCAATAGGAACAGCCATTGTCAAGCCTGAAAGTTCAGTGAGCTTGTCTACTCTGGAGTTACTAGGCAGGAACACTGAGGACAGGGAGGTCCACTGGACTGGTACATGGCCAAAAAGCAAGGGCTGCTCGAAATAGCTTGTTGCTAGGCTTTGAGGTATATGTATGCCTGCAATCCCAGCAATGTGGGAGTACCAGCCTAGAATACCTAGGGTGTCTAAAATAATAATAAAAAAAATAATAATAATTTTTAAAGGGAGGAAGAGAAGAAATGCTTCCTTCCCTGTCTGCTCTGTGTAAGATTACTTGTGTCCATACTGAGCTCAAAACAGAATACTCTCTTCAGAGAAGGGTTGGGGTCAGGCAGAGGCGGTGCCAGCAGGGGCCCTCAGCCTTCCACCCCATTCTCAGACTCTTACCAATCTCACTCATCAAGCCTCGCAGCCGCTGGACAAAGATCCCCACTTCCACAGCACTCATCTGCTCCCGCTCCTTCAGGTCTGCACCTGCAGAGGGCAAGCTTCTGGTGACCACTATGAAATGGCCTGTTACAAAATCCCAGGTGGTTAAAGGAGCCAGCAGAAGCAGTCAGGGAGGAACCAGGAAACCCAGTCCCAGGAGCCTTGGGGGCAGGGGGCGCAGATATCAGTAAAGAGAGGGCAACCGTCATCAAAACAAAGAGGACTTCTTCAAAGTGAATCATCCTTTGTACATCAAAGAACATTGTCAAGGGCTGGAGAGGTGGATCAGTGGTTAAGACTGATCTTCTGGAGGACCTGGCTCTGCATTCGAGAATAGGGCATCAGATACTAGATGGCTGTGAGCTACTATGTGGTTGTTGGGAATTGAACTCAGGACATCTGCAAGAGCCGCCAGTGCTCTTAACCTCTGAGCCATCTCTCCAGCCCCCTAAAAATAAATCTTAAAGAACATGAAGAGAAAACTCACAGAAAATAACTTTTTCCTCTCTCTCTCTCTATCTCTCTCTCTCTCTCTCTCTCTCTCTCTCTCTCTCTCTCTCTCCACACACACACACACACACACACACACACACACATCTGACTGTTCTGGAATTCACTGTGTGGACCAAAGTGGTCTCAAACTCACAGAGATCTGCCTGCCTCTGCAGAGTGCTGGTATTAAAGGCATGTGCCACCATTCCTGGCCTTTAAATATTTTATTTTTATTTTAAATTATGTATGTGTTATGTGTTTGTACACCTATGTAGAGGCCAGAAGAAAGCAACAGCCAGAGCTGGAGTTACAGATGGTTGTGAGCTATCTGATGTGGGTGCTGGGACTCAAACTCAGGTCCTCTGCAATAACAGTTGTGGTGGTTTGAATAAAAATATCCCCCATAGAGCACATGGACCCCAGACTGATGTCTGGGAGGCCAGCACGGGACTGATCCAGACCCCAGAACGTGGAAGTCAATAAGGAGGATGAGGAGGCCTCGGCTCTCTATGGGGCCCCTGGTAGTGGATCAGTATTTATCCCTTTTGTAAGAAGGGACTTTGAGAGCCCATCCCACATGGAGGGATGCTCTCTCATCCTGACCACATGGGGGATGGCCTAGGCCCTGCCCAGGATGATATGACAGACTTTGGGGAACCCCTATGGAGAGCCTTACCCTCCCTGGGGAGCAGAGGGTGGGATGTGGTGGGGAGCTGGTGGGGGGTTGGGGGAGGGGAGGGAGAGGAAGAAGGGAGTGACATGTGAAGCAAGCTTGTTTCTAATTTGAACTAATAAAAAATAAAAAAATGGCCCCCATAGGCTCATCTACTTGTATAGGGAGTAGCACTATTTGAGAAGGATTAGGAGGTGTAGCCTCCTCTCCTCCCCACAGTCTCTCCCTCTCCTCCCCACCTTGCCTTCTGATCAGGATGTAGCTCTCATTTACTCCACCACCATGCCTGCCTAAGACAGCCATATATGCTCTTAATTGCTAAACCACCTCTCCAGCCTTCATGGCTTTCCACCCCCACCCCAAAAAATCACAAGCTAGGGGTTGGGGGTGGCAGCACACACCTGTAATTCCAGCACTCAGAGGTGGAGATATGAGGATCAGAAGTCCAAGACCATCCTCAGCTACAAAGTGAGTTCAAGGTCAGCCTGGGCTACAGGAAAAGGAAGGAAGGAAGAAAGGAAGGAAGGAAGGAAAGAAGGAAGGAAGGAAGAAGTAAAACGAGTTAATTATTTTTATCTTATTGTCAGTCTCAAAAGTGCTGGGATTATGGCATATGTCATCACATTTAGCTAATTAATTCTTTAAAGGTTGGGCTGTGGGGTCCAAGGGGGCTAAGAGCTATGATTTTGACTTACCCCTTGTAGGCTTGGATTGCATGTTTCTCTGGGTTTTGAAACAAGTTCAAGGTGCCCTTGTGAGAGCCAGGTGATGCAGGTTGGAGGCAGTGCTCTAGTGACAAGGACTGGAATTTACCTTATGAGCATGTTGGGACTCAGTGTCTCCATTTCCTCCATAAAAGGTCAGAAGAAAGCAAAGTAGACCAGAAAGACCAAGTTCAAAGCAAATTCTATGCTGACCCTCACTGTCTGTAAAATGGGACTATGCTGTATGCCAGATCCCTAAGAAGAGGGTGGAAGGGAACCCACCTGCACAGAACACACCCTTCACTGCACTTCTGAAGATTAGGACACGGACTTGCTGGTCCTCCCGAAGCTGGGCCAGAGCCTCCAACAGCTGTAGAGGACATGTGGTCAGATACTTCTTGGCCCATCCCAGTCCACGCCCTGGGGTACCATACCTTACCTCACTGACAAAGACGTTCCCCAGGGCATTTCGGGCATGAGGCCTATTCATCAGAACCTCGGTGATTCCTGCAAGGGACAGGCAGCCTTGGTGAGATAGTCAAACTGAGGCCTGGAGCAGGAGGTTCAAGGTAGCCTCTTCCCTTGAGGAGCTATGTGAAGTGCAGCAAGCCACACATTGGACTTGGGCCTCAGTTTCTCCAGCCATTAAACAGAATAACCTTTGCTCTCTCTGCCCCAGAGAGGGAGTAGAAGGGCTTGTGATCTGTGAATCAAAGCCACAAGAGAAACGAGAGCTACCAGCATGGCACTCAGGCGGACCCACAAGCTCTCTCGTATAGGTGCCTTTAATTCCATAGTTCCCTCCATATTATTCTCCCTCACCCCCAACCACACATTTCCCTCTAAAGAGTAATATTCAGGCAAATATCCTTGTATCCACCATCCAGGATAAAGAAATAGAACTGAAACAACCACCCCAGGCCCTCACCAGAGACAATAACCAGTTCACCTCCTCTCTCGTCAAGTTGTAGAAGTCACCTTCATGGATTTTTTTTTCCAGAAAATTATTGTTATTCTTAATATAATTGTTGAGATGGGGCTAATGTACTCCAGACTGGCCTCTGTTGTTGTATGTTTTACTCTTTTAGCTCTATTTTTTTGGAGGGGGCGTGTCACCCAGGTCCCAAGTAAATCACACAAGGAGTCTTATTATACAGAAGTAAGAAATATAAAAGCCCAGAGGGGAAAAAAGGCAGAGACCCAGGGATGAACTCAGATTATCAGGCTATACACGGAGCCATCTTTCTGACCCTGAAAATAAATATTTTATTTGTTTTGTTTTGTTTTTCCAAGAGTGGACTTCTCTGTGCAGCCTTGGCTGTCCTGGAACTCATTCTGTAGACCAGGCTGGCCTCAAACTCAGAGATCCACCGCCCGGCCTCAGGAGTGCTGGGATTAAAGGTGTGCACCACCATTGCCTGGCTTATTTTATTTTTTCTTCTTTAAGATTTATTTTTGGTCTTTCCTAGCCACCCGCCATGGTGGATGGGTGAAAGGCCGGAGCTAACCTAGGGTTACTCGTTAAACAACTACAATAAAGCATCTTGCTGTTTGCATCAAAAAATTAGAAAAAAAAAGATTTCTTTATTTTTATCGGTGGGGGCTGGAGAGATGCCTCAGCAAATAAGAAAACAGGCTGCACTCCCAGAGGATCTGGGTTCAAGACCCAGATCTCACGTGATTGCTCACAACCTTCTATCACTAGTTCCAGGGGACATTCTGGCCTCTACGGGCACCAGGCTCTTGTGTGATACACAGACATAAATGCCCACAAAGGACATAAAGTTGTTTTTTTTTAAAGTGTGCCCTGGGGCATACGCAACCACACATATTCAATAATAAAGTTAAGTAAATAAATCTGACGCGAACGATAAAACAATACGTGAAACATGGGAAAGGGGATGGGATGGGGCTTACACAGACTGGAGAGAGGGATCGCATCCAGGCACCAAGTCCAAACAAACACCGGTGCTTCACAGCACATTGTACAATAGAAGGCTTTGCTGTCAATGGTCATGAACTTGCCCTGTGTGTTAGCGGACGCATATCTCTCCCTCCCTCCCTCCCTCCTTGTCCCCTCAGGTCCATCCGGATTGGATCTGCCGCCTCCGCCCCCTGGTCATTGCCAAGGCCGGACGAAGGAAAAGTCCTGGCCAACACTCTTGGTCCTGATCCCCGGAGCAAAGCTCCGTTCCGAGCTCTCCGCTCCGCTGCACACCTCCCTCCAGGCCTCCAGAGAGTTTGGGGAGACAGATCCAGACAAAGTCCACCCTGGGGCGGCCTGAACTCCAATCCTCCTGCCCTCCCGCCGGAGTCTCCCGGCGTGTTGGGTCCCGGCCGGCCTCGCCCTCAACTTTACCTTTGTCTGGACCTGTCAGCGCGTGCACTTGGATCTCTGGCGTCCCGGTCTTGGCGTTGGAGGCGCAGTCGCGGGCCCCCGGGGACCTCCAGGGCCGCGAGAGGCGCAGCGCGCGGGGCAGGGCGCGCAGCATCTGGAACAGGCTGGCTTGGTGGCTCGGAGACCGGCGACCTCCTCGGCTGAGACGGAGAGTCGAAGTTCCGGGGCGGGCGAGGTCTCGCTAAGGGCTCCACCTACGGGAGGAGAGAAGGGTGCGGCGGCCCGCGACCCGGGAGACCCCAGGCGGTGTGGGAAAGCTCAGCTTCCCGGTGAGATCTGGGCACGCTGGCTGCAGTTTTCCTCCGAAGGCGAGGTGAGGAAGGTGGTGTCCAAACCGTAAGGTGTGGTGTGCACCTTCTTCACGTGCCATGTCATCTCATTAGTTAGTCACTGGGGGGTGGTCTGCACCCAGTGACAAGGTCTCATCTCCCAGAGGCAGTAAGGCCACTGCTGGCTCCCCCCACTTTACCTAACTTCATTGGCTCATAGAAATAGTTAT